GTCCAATTTTTGACACAGCATATTAGATATAGGGTTTTCACCCTTCTTTGACTTAGTCCACAAATTAAAACAATAAAAATATGATAACAATCTGTTAAAAATAATAATATTTTAATATAATAATAAACATATGACTAAATAAAAATAATTACCTTTGTAATTAGAGGTTGACTTCGGTCAACTTTCTTGAGCAAATTAAATAATTAAATAATAATAAAAAAATATCTAAATAATAAAAGTCAGATGATCACTCCAGACAACCTCAATATATCTATTGGGCCTCCAAAAAACTTACTGGATAATCCCAAATTAATTCAGAATTTGTGAAACCCACACCCCTTTTATGGTAAAATAATAACCATACCCCTTTTAACAACAATTTAGAATTAAAAACAAATGTAGTGTTAAGTTAGTAAAAGCCAAAAAGATAATAATATTAGCAATAAAAAGAAAAAAAGAGTAACTATAATTAACCATTAATATTAGTAGGGAAAATTTGGGGTATGACACATTTCACAAAAACATTAATGAGAAAATGTCTCATGAAAAAGTTCATCCCGACTACTTTTTTGAAATAAAACTTAATTTCTCATTCATTATCAATGTTGGAAACATTGCAGATTCTAATAGAATTGTAAAATATGGGGAAACTAACCGCCATCCCTGTGCCATGTCCTTAGAGCTAAAATCCTACACAAATATCTTAAGAAAATTTAAGAACATTCTATGATCACTACTTTCGAATTTCGATTAAGTTCTAATTTTACCCAAGAGTTTGAGGTATCTTCCCAACATACCCAAGAGTTTAGATGCTATGTGAATTGTTTGTGTTCAATGAAATTTATAAGGCATATAAAGATCATTCGAAATTGGATCATGACCTATATAGACTTCTAAATTTGGAATCTAACGTGAGATGTTGAATTTTGATAAACTAATCACGAAGGATAAGGAATTTGAAATTCCCACAAGTAAAGAACCTTATGATAAATGTTCTCCACGGATTTTTGTAACACAAACCGAAAGTTCGTCAATGATTGTTGTAAAACAACTCGAACATAGAACAATTATAAAGTATAAAAGGTTAAGGATCTAAGACCGAACAAAAATGATTCTCGACATATTTCTTTCATCTCATAGAAGAAAACAGTGAGAATTGTGTTCGTAAGATTTCTATTATTCTTCAAGTGGAAGATGATCCTAATATTTACAATGAAGAAGTAACTTCAAGCGAATTCTCTTGGAATGATGTTATCCAAGACAAAATGAATTCAATAATGTCAAACCACATTTTGGAACTTGTCAATCTACCTAAAGGACAAAAATCCATTGGATGCAAATGGATGTATAGAAGGAAGTATCATAGTTATGGTACAAGGATAAGATTAGTAACCAAGGGTTTTAGATAAAAGAAATATATTGATTATCTTGAAACATATGCACTAGAAGGAAGCACAACGAAAGTTAGAGTTTCGTTTGCTTTACCTTCCTTGCATGACCTTATAGTTCATCAAAAGAATGTCAAAATGACATTCCTAAATGGAGATCTCGATGAGGATAGTTACATGGAGAAACCATAAGGTTATATATTTTATGGTAATGAACAAAAAATGTGCAAGCTTGTAAAATCCTTGCACAGATTAAAATATGCACTGAAGAATGACATCAAAAGTTTGACTATATCATTACAAGATTCACCAATAATGAGGAGACACACAACTTATGAGAGGCTTTTCAATCTTACCAAAACAGGAATTCAAAGAGTTTGTCTTCATAAAAAATGGGGAGATTGTGAAGAATTCATCTTATATATAGTTTTGATGAAGGCAAATATTATCAAAGATAAAAAGAATCAAAAGCTTCATGCACATCAACGCTGAAGTTGATCAAGAAGGTTTAGCATAGAAATTCAAGTGAAGATTCGAGAGAAGTAAACATAACTAAGGTACTCATTGCAATTCATATTATACTATTTTAAATTTCCCATAATTTCATTTTTCACTTCATCTAAAAATCTTCTTGCATCATCATACATGATCACCTAAAAATATTTCATCATCTAATTCTTGTGATAAGTGTTTGTACACAAAGTTTTGTGAGGAAATTGTGATATTCCTTTGTCTCTAGGTTGATTCCATGTTGATCATTAGCAACAAACTGAATGGAATCTTAGAAACAATGAGGTTTCTAGCTTCCCCATTCAAGATGAAAGATCTTGAAATAATGGATACTCTTTTGAATAAAAGTAAAGAGAAGTAGCGGGGGTTAAAAAGCATAGTCAAGCACGTTATACTGAGAAAACTTCCACATTCGAGATAAAATATCTTGGACTAGTTGACACTCTTTTAGGGATCAAAGTAATGCGAAATAGTGGGGATTATGAACTTAGTTAAATACACTTTATTGAGAAAGTTATTGATAAATTCAAACTGTCACGTTTCAAGATAATGAATATTTAATTTGATCTTAGTGTCAAGATGATGATGGACGAGTTGTGGCTATATTAGAATATGCAAGAACAATTGGTTTTCTAATGTAATATATTAGACCTGACATAGCATTTGCAGTCAGTAAATGAGTAGATTTACTAGTAATTCAAATAGTAAGCATTGGAAGGCTATCATGAGAATTTTGGTTATCTTTTGAAAACAATTATTTTTTCCTTCATTATGGTAGTTTTCCTGCCATACTAAAAGGATATATCGATACGAGATGGATATCAAGTGTTGTAGATAATAAATCTACAAATAGGTGGATATTTACACTAGTTGAGGTAGAATTTCTTGGAAGAGCAAGAAACGAACATACATCACTTTTTCAACCATGAAATTAGAGTTTGTGGCTCTCATTTCCGTTGGTCAAGAATATGAATGGTTGAGGGAACTTCTGTTGGAAGTTCCATTGGCAAAAGAAAATGTTTCAAAGTGTTGATACATTACGATAGTCAAACCATTTTAGTTAGTGCATTCAGCAAAGTATATAATGGAAAGTCTAGGCACCGAGGCCTTAGACATTCTTTCATGATAAAATTGATTAAAGATATAATAATGTCACTCACATATATAGGATCGATCTATAATTTGGCTAATTCATTTACTAAGCCATTGGCCAGAGACTTAGTAAAAACAACCTCGAGAGGTATGAAGTTGAAACTCCTTGAGTAAGAGTTCTGACAACAGCAGCAACCAAATCTTACGTTAACAGAACATTAACCTCAAGATTTAATGGGTAACAACAAGTCATTGATTTGGATAATTGTCGAGAATTTCATGTTAATATTGACCTTAAAATGAGGGTTTAAATTTCATTTTAAACTCTTAATGGAGTTCATAACTGAGGAAAAGTATCTCATGGAAAAGAATAGAACATGAACTTCACCTGTGTGAATTTCGAGATGGTGTTGTCTCAAAGTGAGAGTTGAAGTTTCTCTCATAAAAAGTTCAAGGAAATCTTAGTCAGTTTTTGCACTAAACATTCACCAGTGGAAGTTTCCTTTAAATTTTTTCTCGGGCTACTAAAAGTTTGAATTTCAAATTCAAAATACACAATACCTCATGAAGTGGTGCATTGTATTATTATACGTGAATCATTGCAAACATATGCTGAAAAGGTGTTGTTTCATCAAGAGTTGCAAACTTATAAAACAACACATGCATGACCTATAAATACATAATTCTAAATTAAAAAATCATTCACTCAAAATCTTACATCCTCTTCGATATTCCAGACACTCTTCCTTGCATTTGAGTTCTTTACGAGACTTGTGCAGACTCGATTCAAAGGCTGAATTATCTTGGGTATTCTTGTGTTCCAACTCTAAGACTATAAAGAGACTATAATACAATTTTGTTAAAATCAAATCAATCAAATAATAACTAACATAAAATATATTTGATTTGATTATTAGAACTTTTTTATTTAGTCTCTATTCCTTATTTTCATACAAGCATAAAAAAAATTATCTTAGAAGAAAAAAACCACTTATAGAAAATGCTGATGCATTTCTCAATTCTATTGAATAAAAAAATACACAAGTTTTTATAGAAAGAATCAATTAATCAACTAGATATCATAAACACCGTGAAAGACAATGACCACAAAAGATTCGTGAATAAAATGTAGATCTAAAAATGAACAAATATTTGTCATATAAAATTATTGTAAAACAATATGCCACCGTGCAAATACTTGATCAGAGCAAAGTGAAAAAATAAGAACCATATAATAACAAAATAAATTATGTCTCGACACTTAACAACATTAAATGTATGGACGAAAAATAAAGAATGATGGTCAATAGAAATCATAGGAGAATCTCTATAAAAGAAGGCTACATATGTCAAATCAAATACACACATATAACGATACACACAACAATTATATTAACAATTTTATACCTCTCATCTCTAACGATAATTGACTTGTGTGTTTTTGTGTGTCATCTCTAACATGCTTGAACAACTTAATTAACTTTTAAAATATTTTTGTATATGTGATATTGATTATAGAAAGAAGTACAAGTGCACGATTAAAAATTTTCCTAAAAAATGGGAGAAAATATAAATACAAATCAACCACATCAACATCCAAATCAAAGACATTATCCCCATACGTGGAAGAGTTTAAACGGCTAGACAAAAGTGCAAATTTGGAAGTAACTATACTCACCAAAAACTATCTTCAAAGAATAACAAAATTTCCATCCAAGTTTTGACACATAACCAAACACTGCCACAATAGCAACAAGTCTTGTAAGCTAGCATGCCATCACATTTAATATGAAAAGCTTTAGACGGCACTAACATATAAAAATTGATTTAACCCTCAAGATTAAGACCCGTGACTAAATTAAATTAAAGCCTAGTTTATTATTTCTAGCCACTTCTTATAAATTGAACCATACTCTTAACGTTTCATACACATCTTCAATACACAACATCATTTCGTTCCTATAGATATTACCTATTCTTCCTCAATTAAACACTTGAAATTAATCAACCATGGCAAATTCACGCATTGCAAGGTTTTTCATGGAGGTGGCACCACCACAATATGTTAATGTTATGAGGCATAGAACATCAAAAATGATGGAAACAATTAGTGAAGATGATAGGGAAATTAACTCATCAAATGATAGTGTAATTTCATCAACAACTTCAGCTTCATCACTTGTTGCATCTTCATGTGCCTCTTCTACAAATGCAATTGTTAATTCTAGATACTTCTTGAAGGAAGTTCATAGAAGCCTCTCCAGTTTGAATCACTGAAGCACTTTTACAATGTTAAGCAATTCAAACAAAACAACCTTAATTTGGTGGCTGTTTGTTTCATAGTTCTTTTTGTTGCTGTTGTTTTTCTCCTATGAGACTCGAGAGTTTAATTAATATTGTAATTTTTATAAATAAAAAAATATATATATTGTAATTTTTATGGATCTGTATTTGTACTTTTCTATGATGTACATAGACTCATGAATTTCTATCGATAAAAATTCTCTCTCTTTTTGGCATGAATATCAAATCTGTAATATTTTCTTTCATATTATGTGCCATGGTGAAATTCAAATCATTGTACTTGATAATAAGTAGTTAAATAGTTGATTTTCTTTTAATTACATATTCTCCAAATTTCTGCATTCAGTGTTTAACAAAATTGGTTCCAGAGATATTTTTAGGTATTAAAAATGAAAAAAACAATAAAACTATTACATTTGTGAACAAATAGCTATCACCACAAATTTTCCAAATCGTTAGCCTTCTATGCACCTTCTATTAGAAATTAACTCAGAATTTTATCAGTGTTTATGAAAGAACAAAATTAATGCGAAAGTATAGTTAAATTAATACTAATAAATAAAATATACTAAATGTATAAGAACAATCTCTCACAAATTTCTACAATCCAGTTACACCAAAAAACATATTTTTTTTTTCAATTTAATTTCTTTTAGAAAAATCTCCTAACATATCTTAATTTCATTCTCTATCTATTTTTTCCCCCTTATTTCGATCTTTGTTGATCAACAATCTCTCACTTAAATTTCAATCGGTTTTCACACCTCAATTATACAATAATATTTATGAGTTCGTAATTCTAGTAGATCAATTAAAGTGTAGCACAACTCCAACGTGTCAATATTCACCTTATTTGTTAATATGTATGTTGATTTCTCACTTCATTGAATCTTGCTCAGTGTTAGCACTCTATCTTCAAATGAAAATGATAAGCAAAAATGACTTTCTCAATTTTGCTCAATGATATTCACCTCATTTGTTAACATGTTTGTTGGCTTCTCACTCATCGGTCTTCGTTATTCTAACTGATATGATTTTCTCTATATTAGGTGATAGATCCTTAGATAGGCGAAAATAACTTGTCAAATGTGTCCTAACTGGTTTGGTATTGTCCATGTTAAATATTAGCAAAATAAGATTGATGTACTCTAATTGAGATAATTACAAAACTCCTTTTTACTTAATTTTGATTATTTGAATACCTAGGATCCTTTGACAACTATATCTTTAAATTTCTAGTTTCATTCATAACTAAGAATGCTACTAACATATCATCGACACAAAGTAATAAAATGATATGAACGGACTTATATCTCTTAAAGAAACAACAATGATCGGCATTGCACTTCTTAAAACCTTACTTGTGCATGAAGCTTTCAAACATCATATATTGTGGTTTCAGAGCAAAATTTAGGCCATACGAGTTCTTCTTTAGCCTACACACCCTATTGTCTTTTACTTATTCTAAGAATCCTTCAGATATGTGCAAGTATATCTCCTAAAAAAATTTACAAGAAGAAATATTGCGTTCACATCTTATTGCTCAAGATAGAATTCTTCACTTAATCATACTTAACACATTCCTGATATTATTATGCTTCACAACCAGAGAAAAATTCTAGTGTAGACAACTCCTTCTTTTTACTGGAATCCTTTTACGACTAGTTAGACTTAATATCTCTTAGATCCATCATGGTTCTTCTTCAATCGACACACCCATTTTTTAAGTATCTTCTTTCCTATAAGTAACTTAGTTAGATGATTGCTTAGTATCTTCTTTCTTATTACTGGAATAGAAGTATACTGCTCTAGTGTGTTCGATGATTGACTATTACTTTTAGTTGATTCCTATAACTGGGGACTTTCAATAGTGGTACTTTCAAATACATCGTGCAACTCAACATACACATGCTCGCTCAATTCTGAGTCATTGGCGGTTGCGTTATGCATATCTTTGTAGATCACTCTTTTATTGAATATAATGTCACTATTATTGATTATCTTTTATTTTAACCAAACTTAAAGTCGGTATCCAAAATCATACTCACCATAATTGATGAAAGTACACTTTTTGTTTTAGGATCAAGTTTATCTATGCTTTGATCACTAATGTACACAACTCCAAACATCCAAAAATATAAGATGTGAGAGTTTTATCTCTTTTTCGATTCATACCTCTTATGGTATTTTGTGATACTATTTAACCAATGGACCTTAGTTAATTAAGTTAACTAGCATGTTAATGGATTCTTCTCGTAGCTGCTTTAGTAAGCCTTTTTGCACACAATTTTGTTTGGCTCTCTCAATTAATGTTTTATTCATTTGCTTGGTTGCAATATTGTGTTTTGGTGTTTCTGGTATGATTTTCCCTGTCTTGATAGAAAACTTATAACAAAACTTCTTAAATCTAATTTCTTAATATTCAACACCATTGTTAGTCAAGAACTGATGTTCCTTTTGGATTGGTTGCATTATGCAAAACAACATGGAGTTTGTTCAAGGTAGTTCTGCTGTAGAAGGCACACACGTGGAACTCGATATTCCAACATGTGTGCTGCAACATCTAATCTCTTAGAACAGACAAATGTTGTTTCAGTTTTGATTTAAAGTTATTCTATCCAAGGTTCACTCCACTAAGAAGATCTACAAAGGTATAAAGAATAAAATGTTCTGCTGTAACATGTGGAACTCGGCGTTCTAGCATGTGCAGTACAACATCTGACTTTGACAGCAAGGCAAATGGATGTTGTTTGGTGTATAAGTTTTTATTGGGATTTAATCAGATTTGTTGCAGATAAGTTAGAAATATTTGTTAAATTTGTTTGAAAGCTGAAGGTGCTAAAATCAAATTTAAATTTGAATTTGAAATATAATAAATCATATATTTTGTTGGAGACATTTATGGAGAAGATCATATCCAGCAGAATCAGTTAATTTCTTAACTAAATCAAATCAAATATCCAAAGGAGAAAAGCTCGTAAGGAATTCTATATAAGGAAGATCAAGTCTCATGCTTGAGACATGGATTTTATGCGCAAGATTTAGTATCTTTGTGCTACGGTTTTAAGTATTTTTAACTTGTGTTTCACGCTAATGTCATCATAAGGATTAATGTTGGTTCTTTATGCACATCACTCTATATTTCATTAACTTGGCATACTTTTTGGTTTGTCTTAGTTGAATTATAAATTAAATATTTAATTGGGTTATTATTGAAGTTGATCACTTGGGATTAATGATTGAGAGAAAGTGTGAGGGCTTCTCATATTTTGAGGGAGACCTAAATAGAAAGCCACTGGGATTAGGAAGTGGAATTAAACATCATAGGGTTGGTGTTCATAGAAGACTAAGTGTAATAATTCGAAGTAGTGAATTTACTTTCTTGGGTAGAGTTTCCTCCAGATGTAGGTGTTGTTTGCATCGAACTAGGTTACCACGGTTCTTCCCTACACCATGGTGACATCTTTAAACTAAGGTGTTACCATATTATTTTTGTTTTTTCATTAAAAATTAACTGTATATAACAACGGTTTTGGAGCAAACCATGGTGATACCATCAAGTCTTCATGGGTTCGAACCTCAGCATCCTCATATATATTATTCTTTAAAGTTAAGGCACGCCTTTTTTTTTAATAATAAAGTTAAAGGATTATGACTACGGTTGGTTTGTTCCACCGTTGTGATATATTTATAATAAATAAATACTTATCAATATGGTTGGTAGATAACCATTGTAAAAAAATTTACCCATATATAAGCGAGTTAACTCTCAATTATTGACAGTAGCGCCGCTTCCTCCACAGTGAAACCCTAGCACCCATCTTTTCTTTTGTTCTTCATCATTAGCCCTGAATCTTGTGCTTCATACATTAAGGTATTCTTCTTCTTCCATCTTCTCCATTATCTCGTTTGTTGCATATTATTTTTGTTGATTGTTCTCATTTTTTTAGATTCGTCTTCACTACTATGTTCATGGGACATATTGTTTATGTAGCTATGGAAAAAAGTACAAGAAGCCTGAAGCTATGATGGAAACTTATCTCATACTTCTTCTTCATAGCTTCACAAACAAGATGATTTTATACTCTATTCAAATGTTGATAACTTCATATTGATTCATGTTCCACGATTATTTTAAATAAAAGGTGCATCCTGGAAACTTATAATATACCTTTTTTGTTGCTCACAAGTTCATAATATCTGGTTCTGTTGTATGATGTTGTTTGAGTTTATTATATTCTATGTAGATTGTTTGTTTCACTAACCCTCACTTAAAATACATTCATTTAAATTGACATAGATACTATAATCTGAATATTAAATTGTATTTGAAAACTAACTTATATCAATCATTTTTTTTGAATTACGTGCGTCTCATCGTTCATTTCATGCTCTTTTACCTATAGATTATGGTATAATGACCTGGCTCCTCAGATCCATCATTGTCTTGGATTATAGTTAAATTTCATTTAATATGATTTATTAGATAGTCTGTCGCTTCATTAACAGTAATGATCGTAAAATTTACGATTATAAAAATTACAATGATAAGAGATGATGATGAGGCATATTATCCAATATCTTTTTGTTATGGAAATTTAACTATAATCGAAGATAACGATGTATCAAAGAAGTTAGATCAACAAACCACGTTATATATGTAAAAGAGCATGAAATGCAAGATGAGACGCATGCAATTAGAAAAAACAATGGTTAGTTTAAGTTGGTTTTCAAGAATAGCTTAATTTTTAGATTATAGATTTCTTCATCAATTTGAAAACTTGTATTTATTTAGTGAGGTGTATGAGAAAATAAGCAATCTACATATTATATAATAAACTTTGGCCACTTTTCAATACGGTTATATATTGTAACCGTGATCAAAGGTGATTTATGGTTTATATAATTTATGTTGATGGGTTTCGAACCCAGTACCTATGTGTAAGTATCAAAATGGTGCATAAGTATAACCA